CCAGCCAAGTTTTAATTTTTTAAGGAGCCTCTATCCTGTTTTCCTTCATGGCTATACTACTAACATTCTTTTTTTTTTTTTTGAAAGGAAGTTTATTAATAAAGTAAAGGACTAAAGAATGGTTATTCCGTAGGCAGAGCTGCCCCAAGGGCTACTGGTTGCCCCTTTTTGTGGTTTTTTTTATCATATGCTAAATAAGGGGTGGGTTATTCATGCCTCCTCATTTTAGACTATATAAGGTAAAATGACATTGCTATGGCATTTGTAAACTGTCATGGTGCTGATGGGTGTGTCTTTTAGCATGTTGATGTATAATTAGCAGCAAAGACAACCAGTGGTCACTCTCATCGCCATCTTGGTTTTGGTGGGTCTTAGCTGGCTTCTTTACCACAGCCTGTTTTATCAGCAAGGTCTTTATGACCTGTATCTTGTGCTGACCTCCTATCTTATCCTGTGACTTTGAATGTCTAACCTCCTGGGAATGCAGCCCAGTAGGTCTCAGCCTTATTTTACCCAGCCCCTACTTAAGATGAAGTTGCTCTCGTTCAAACACCTCTGACATTTCCCCCTTCCCTTTTATAAAAGAACCCTTAATCCTAAGGGTTGCAGAGGAACAAAGATCCATCTTCTGTAAACTTCATGCTGAATAGGGGCGATGATATTCCTGCCTAATTATTAGGGTCTCTTGTATTCAGGGTAGAGAAGAGCTCAGTCAGAAAGTGTCAGGGTGAGGGTCGCTTATAACTCTGAGTTCCAACAAAAGGTGATATCCGAAGTTGGCCAGTCAGTGCTGCAGTCTGTTTCTTTTGGGTTGGGAGGGTCTCCTCAGTATTGTCCCTTCCATGGTTTGCCAGAAAGATGTTACTGGAAAGGGGCCCTGATCAGACCCCAAGAGAGGGTTCTTGGATCTTGTACAAGAAAGAATTCAGGACAAGTCCATAGAGTAAAGTGAAAGTAAGTTTATTAAGAAAGTAAAGGAATAAAGAATGGCTACTCCATAGGCAGAGCAGCCTATACTAATTTATATTCTCACCAGCAGTATACCAAGATTCACTTTTCTCCACATCCTCACCAACACTTGTTATCTTTTATCTTTTTGATAATAACCATGCTAACAAATGTGAGGTGATACCTCATTGTGATTTTGATTTTCATTTTCCTGATGATTAGTGATGTGGAGGATCTTTCCATAAACTTCTTGGCCATTTGTATGTTTCTGGAAATATGTCTATCCAGGTCTTTTGCCCATTTGTAATCAGAGGTTTTTTCTTTTCTTTTTTTTGCAATTAAATAGTGTGAGTTCCTTATATATTGTGATGATTTTTTTGTGTGTATGGTAAAGCATAACATAAAATTTACCAATTTAACCGTGTGTGTGTATTTTTTAAATTTTTTTATTTTTTGGAGACAGCATCTTACTCTGTTGCTCAAGCTGGAGTACAGTGACATCATCCCAGCTCACTGCAGCCTCGACCTCCCAAACCCAAGTGATATTTCCACTTCAGCCTCCTGGGTAGCTGAGATTGTAGGCATGTGGCACCATGCCTGGCTAATTTTTGTATTTTTTGTAGAGATGAGATTTTGCCATGTTGCCCATGCTGGTCTTGAACTTCTGAGCTCAAGCAATTCTCCTGCCTCAGCCTCCCAAACTGCTAGGACTACAGGCGTGAGCCACCACTCCTGGCCTTTTGGAACCATTTTTAAGTGTAGAGTTCAGTGACATTTAATACGTTTACATTGTGTACAACTATCATCATTATTCATCTGTAGAACTTTTTCATCACCCCACATTGAAAACTGTGTACCTCATTAAATAATAACTCTGTTTCTCTTTCCCCTCAGCCTCTGGTAACCACTAGTCTAATTCCTGTCTCTATGAATTTGACTGAATAGGTACCTCTTATAAGTGGAATCATATAATATTTATTATTTCATGTCTGGCTCGTTTCACTTAGTGTAATATCTTCAGGTTCATCCATGTTGTAGCATGTGTCAAAATTTTCTTTCCTTTTTAAGGCTAAATAATATTCCATTGTATATATGTATACACACACAGCACACACACACACACGCACACACATACATACCACATTTCGTTTATCCATTTTTTTATTTGTGGACACTTAGGTTGTTTCCACCTTTTGGCTATTGTGAAAATGTTGCTGTGAACATTGATGTACAGATATCTATAGTGGAAGTGTCTGCTTTCAGTTCTTTTGCGTGTATACCCAGAAGTGAAGTAAGTGGATCACATGATAATTCAGTGTTTAATTTTTTGAGGAACCGCTGTACTGTGCTCTACAATGGCAGCACCATTTTACATTTCTATAAGCAATGCAGAGAGTTTCCAATTTCTCAGTATCCTTGCCAACACATGTATTTTCTTATTTTTTTGCTTGCTTTGTTTTTGATAATAGTCATCCTAATGGGTATGAAGTGGTATCTCATTGTGCTTTTGATTTGCATTTCCCTAATGATTAGTGATGTTGACTGCATATGTAATTTTATAAGACATTGCCAAATCCCTCTCTAAAAGGAAATGTTGCATTCTTTTTTTTTTTTTAGTTAAGCAATTATTTTATTGCTCAAGTACATAGACAAATTTATGTAACCAGGGCACAGGCTGTAGATGATTCATATTTCCAGTTGGGAGAGAGGACTCACTTGGTCTTATAATATCGAGCCACACAGTGAATCTGGTTTTCTATCATAATCAGATGGAATTTAGCATCCTTACCCCTTCTCTTCCTCTCAAGAAGCTTACTTGTGCAGCACCATGTGAATCTCTCAGGATCCCACCGATTTGTGAAGGAGTCAGACCCTTCTTGGCCAGTTTTCAAATCTGCTCCTTCATGTTGTCAGATGTCAGCTTCAGCCAAGTGGGGACGCTGCGGTGATAGGGCAAAGCCGACTGGGACTGGCCCTTCCCGGAAGCGTACAAGCAACCCATGATGGCAGCTGTCAGGCAGCAAAAGGAACATTCTGACTAACGATGCATGAGTACCTATTTCCTCATAGCCTTTCTTAACAGCATATATAGTCACAATTTTAAATTTATTTATTTATTTATTTTTATTATTATTATTATACTTTTAAGTTCTAGGGTACATGTGCATAACGTGCAGGTTTGTTACATATG